ATTCTGTGATTCTGTGATTCTGTGTGCAGGCAGTTGCCTCCTTCCTGGAGGGTGGCCTGGTACCAGGTCAGCGAGCAGAGCTTGGGGGTCCTCCCACAGGTCTTCCCTAGCCCTGGGGTCAGGAGCCCTCTCCTCAAGCACACTCTGGTCCTTGATTGTGCTCTGTGGCCCCCAGACCTGCACCAGGCATCCCAGACAGTTGTGATTCAGCGCTGAGCTCCATCCCCAGCATCCCCGGCAGAGGGCTGGGGTGAGCAGGAGCCAGCACAATCCCCTGCTTGGAGAGAAGATATCACAGTAATTAACAGGGCTAGCATGACCAAGAGCCTTTTAAATAGACATGCCTAGAGATATATATCTGATGGTTAGGGCTTAACACTTCCTCCCTTTGATCCATTTTATCTTTTTTTGATGTTGTTGTTTTTTTGTTTTCCCCTTATTTCTCAATTTTGGAAGGGCCAATGTCCCTCCAGACAGTCCAGCACTGAAGACACACAGCCAGGAAAACTCACAGGCCATTTACTATTTGTGTAGAAGTCTGCATGGAGCAATACCATTATATTTTTCCTTCCCAGCACCTCCTGGAGATGCCAGTGGGCAGCCCGGAGTAGTCTCTGAAGATGGTGCAGGCTGCTGAGGGGGTGCCAGCAGGCACCTGCTCTCAGCCTGGAGGCAACCACACAAAGCGTGTGTGAAGGGCTTGGGTTAGGGATGGCCACGCTTTATGCTCATTGTCACTCCTGGAGCAGCCAGGACTGGGAAGTGGTCTGGACTTTCCTAGCCCAGTGCTGCAGCTTTGCTCTGTGTCTGTGTTTGTTTTCCTACAGATAGGAGGAAGAGGACCCGTCTCTGCTGGCCAGCTTTGCATATATTGTCTGCTGTCCAAAAGCAGGGGGAAAGCATGGCATGAATAGCCCCTTCCCAGGCATGCATGGAACAAGAAACTGTATATGCAACAGATTACCTGGCAGATAAACTCATCTCCACCATCCTGCTGGTGGTCTGACAGCAAATGCGGCTTGCCAGTGCTGTGCTCAGTGCAATGCCTTTATTTCCCCAGATTCCACCAAGAAGCTCAAGGATGTTCTGGAAGAGTTTCAGGGTGATGGCATTCTCTCGAGGTACAACCCCGAACAGGTATGACCCTGTGCCCTTCAGCCTCCCACCATGCTGCTGAGAGCTCCCAGCCCCCTACCAGCTTCCTCAGCCCAGCTACCTCAGCTAAAAGCAGCTTAGAGAAGGCAGGTCTATCTGTCTACCCCCTGCTTCTCCCCATGGCCATGGTCCTGCGACTGGAAAAGATGCTCCCACTGATGGGGACCATCTCTCCCAGCCCCTAGGTACATCCCCCCCAGCCACCCCAGGGACCAGGCTCACTGCATCAGCCATCCTACCACATCCCACTGATGCTGCTGGGAACCCACAGTTATGCTGCTGTTTCATGCTGGCTGCAGGCTGCCTTGCTGAGAGTGTTTTGGGGCATCTTCTTGCCAGGCAGAAGCTGGGAGGGATTTACTCTCTTTCCCCTCAAAAGGAAATGATTTTGCTGTTTCCAGCATGGGGATAGGGGAAGGCCCCATGCCTTCTTACTCTTGCCTGAGGAGGGCTGGGGTTATTTTTTCCAAGCGGTGCTTTCAGAGAGACCTATTAATGTGCCAACAAGAGAGGGCCTTTCATGGGAGCCAATGAGACAAAATAAGAAATTTCTCTAGAAATGAGACAAAATAAGAAAAATCGGTGGGCTCAATGCAGCAAGGAAGAGCAGGAAAACTACCCTGCTGTTCAAGGGCACCAAGGCACCCTCACTCCAGCCAGGGCCACAAAAAACGTTGAGAAGGCAGCACCTTGCAGCAGTGGGGATGCTTGGTGGGGAAGGAGGAGTCAAGGAGACCACAGGAACATGCTAGTCCACAGGGACTGGGAGTGAGCTGGAGGGTCATGCTGCTTTGTGCCCTGTCTCCGGGGAGCAGGAGGCTTTCAGAGCACAGCTCATTATACCCCTCGTCTTCCAACATCCCTGGCCTCCTTTGGCCATACTAGGAGGTCTGTATTTACTTCCTCAGTTGTTTGCCAGCAGCTGAGCACAGCTCCATCAGAGCCTCTTGCCCCTCCAGTGAGCTGCCCACCATGTGGGGGTCTGCAAACCCCTGGGCAGGTGAGCCAGCTGCTCCCATGCTGCCAGCAAGTGCTGTCCCACTGCAGCTCTGCCCTTTCCTGCTGCTTCCCCAGCTCCTACCTTGACTGCTGCATCTCACATCCCTGCTCTGAACACCACTGGCCTCGCTCTGCTGCGCCAGCCGCCAGCAGTCAGCCAGCACATACTATTTCTGGCCCTGCTACCTCTGGGTCCCTTTCGGTTGTATCCCACTGCTGGGATTTGGGAAGCTGGCAATTTCGAGGACAGCTCTGCAGCTGATGTACCTGGTGAGGAAGGTGTGCCTAGAGCACCTTTATCACTCTTCTCTGTCCCCATCCCAGCCCATTGACTATGAGGGTTTTCGCCTGTTCATGAAGACCTACCTGGAGGCGGATGTACCCGAGGAGCTTTGCCAACACCTCTTCACTTCCTTCAAGCGTAAGATATGCCAAGCCTCCCCTGACACCCAGCGCCAGAGTTCCGGCGTCTCGCAGTTCAACACCCTTGGTAAGCCAGCCCTGCCACCCAGCTGGGCACACTGTGGCATGGCAGCGTGTCAAGCTCACTCCCTGTCTGCCCCTCGGGGACAAAGATTTCAGGGTGGCACCTGCAACTGGTGGTGTTGGGACCAGCACACAGCCCAGCTCTGTCCCATCCAACAGATGCCCTGCTCTGAGGTGGAGAGGGATTTCCCCGGGGTAGGGGACCCATGGGGCATCATTGCACTGATTCCTTCCTCTCCTCCATGCATTCAGAGCCCAAGTCACTCGATGTTGGCATCTCCATCCAGACCAAGGTAGCCTGTGCCCCTGTGACAGTACCACCACATGGCTGCATCTGGAGCAGGGAGCGTGTGCTGGACACCTAGCTTCTGCTTCCTTTGGCCCCGGCCCCTGCCCCTGCCCGGGTGGATTTACAGCATGTGGAGACAGCTGCTGAAAGGACTAGAAACTGTAAAAGAAAAGGTGCTTGGCTGCCGTATTGTGACATGGTGACACGGGACCACGTCCTGGTCCCAAGCACCATGGCATCTGGCACCCAGGGGCAGCTCTGCTGCTGGTAGCTGCTGGGCCAGGCAGGAGGGTGAGGTGCCACCCACTGTGCCCCTCAAAGAGCCCTAGCACCAGTTTGCCAGCCCGCTTTAGGGCTATCAAAGAGAATCTGTAGGCAAGAAACAAGCACTCAGGCAGGGTTCCTGGAGGAAAAGTCTTGCAAGGCTCAGGCACCCTGGTGTCACACTCCCCAAGGGCATCTGTCTGCTTTGCAGGGATCAATGGGAAAATGCTCCTAAGTGCCCTGGGACGACACACTCCTGATTCCAAGAGCTGCCACAGCAGCACAGCTGAGCTGCAGCTTGCATCCTTCACCCCAGCATCGATCCCCAGTGTCTCTCCCAGCTGGTCCAGGTCATCCTCCCAGAAGTCCACCACTGACACTCCTTCTGCTCACAACTCCTCAGGGTCTTCAAAGATCTCCTCTGGGTCTGTGCTCAGCCCTCAGTCACCAGGTGAGCTTGGCTGGGGCTCCACAGGGCACAGGGGGCAGTGACAAGCCCTCCTTGGTCTCCTAAGCTGTGGAGCCACACCTTGCCCTGGCAGTGCAGCTGATCAAGTCCTGGTGCAGTGGTGTGACCTTCCAAACTCAGCAGCTTGCTTCCATCTTGACACCTTTATTTTGCAAATTTAAGTTTCCAGTCCCATCCCACAGAGGCCCCACCGTTCAATGTCTTAATTACCTGGCAGCAGCTCCTAGCAAGGGGATACTGAAGCGATGAGTCATGGCTGCCTCCAGCTCAGCTTCTGCCAGCCACTGATGAGGGGAGTGCTGGGAAGAGCCCCTCTGCCAGGAGCAGACATCTGCCAAAGGCTACTGTTGGTGGGGCCAGCCATGAGTGTGGGCTGTCCCAGCACCCCAGCGAGCTGCCCCACTGCCAACCAAGCTTCTTGTGCCTTCTGGCTGGATGCTTGTCCCTGGCAGACTCTCACCACTCATCCTGCCCATGCCTGCAGTGCCAGAGGTGCAGGGATCTGTGCCCTGGGCTGGCCTTGCCCAGCCTTGCTCCTGCAACGGCATCTTCCACACCTTGCCTGCCCTGTGCTGAACAGTTCCCTGACAGCCCTGTGTCGTGGCTGGGGACAGCTCCTTGTCTCCCTATGCATGGCCTTCCCCCTCTCCCTACCCACAGGCATGAGGAGCGTGGAGAGGAGGTTACCCTTCAGCCTACGGAAAAGCCACAGCTTTTTTCCGCCCCCCAGCCCCGTGGACCAGGTGGTCCATCTGAAGGACATCGTCTGCTACCTGTCCCTGCTGGAGAGGGGACGAGCAGAGGACAAGCTGGAGTGTAAGTGGGATCCTGGGATTGTGGGCTGCCAGTCACGCTGTGTGGAGGGGGGACTGCTGGCTGGAGGCATCGCCTGGGGAGCTAGTCTGAGGAGAGGTGTGGGGCTGAATGCTCCTGCTCACTTTTTAATGCTGAAATATTAAAACCGCTTGGGAAACCTACTCATCCTCACCCCTCTGCTCCTGCTTGCCAGCACCTGTGTCTGGCAGAGGGACAGCCAGGGGGGCTATGGCTTTGCTCTGATACCCAACAACCCCGTGTGGACTCGGGGTCACATCTGTCCTGGGTGAGCCAGTGCACAGTGCTGCTCTCATCCCACAGCCCTGGCAGCCCCAGCACTGAGCACTTGCCCTGGGGCTGAGCCCTAACCAGCAGCTGGCTTTTCTTGTCCCTTCAGTTATGTTTCGCCTCTACGATACTGATGGAAATGGCCTCCTGGACAGTTCGGTAAGTCATAGAATAGCCTAGGCTGGAAGGGACCTTAGAGATCATTTAGTCCAACCCCCCTGCGCATGGGGACAGAGCAGGAATCGAACCCGTGACCTCGGTGTTGGTTCATTGTCAGCACCGCGCTCAAACCACTGAGCTAACCGGCCCCCCGGTTTCCTTCATGAGAGAAAGCTAAGGCTGCTTGGGGGTCCAGAGACACACAGGGCCCTATGGGTGTGCTTTCTCCCCTGGTGAGGTCCTCTGAGCTCTCTATCTCCAACAGGGATATGGGAAGGGAAGAAAAAGCTGCAGCATTTGCTGCAGGGCTGGACCGTGGGGCTGGGGGATGCATGCCAGATCTGCTGCGTCCAACAGCAGCTAGAAAAAATCCACCCACCAGTAACTGTAGCTCTACATGAGGTCACAGTGTTTCAGAAAAGGAAAAATCATGCACAGCCCTCCCGCTGTGATGTTCTCTTTTTCGGTTGGGTATCTCCCTTGAAACCTGTTACAAATAAAAATTGTTTTGTCAGAGAAGTTTTTCGGAGGGAAAACCCACTGCTGATTTTCTGGCAGGTTTTCAGAGGAGAAAGCAAAACTGAGCACCCACTAAGAAGTGGGATGTGGCTGGCCCCATGTGCGGGTGGGGGTCCAGGCCCACCTTGGGCATTTATACCTGATACATCCTCACTTGGGGAGCAAGAGGCTGGACGTGGCACTGGTACCCAAAGCTATTCCTAAGTGCCAGGTGCCATCATCTTTCTGTTAAGGAGCTGGATCGTATCATCAACCAGATGGTGCATGTGGCTGAGTACCTGGAGTGGGACTCCACCGAGCTGAAGCCTGTGAGTGCCGGGGCTGGGGGCAGGTGGGGGGGCTCTAAGGATTCACAGGAGGCATCAATGTGTCACCGTGTTGCCTCCCTCCAGATTTTGAAGACAATGATGGAGGAGATTGACTATGACCATGATGGGACCGTGACGCTGGAGGAATGGATCCGGGGTGGCATGACCACCATTCCCTTGCTGGTCCTCCTGGGGATGGAGACGGTGAATGCTCACAGAGGGGCCTGCTGTGGCCGTGTCCAGCCGCCCTGCTTGCTCCTGCAGGACAGCCCTGAGCTGGCGGCAGCAGGAGAGGGTGGCGATAGAGGGTGTGCAGGGACCACGGGAGGGCTGAGCTGGGCACCCATCCGGCACCGCACAGCCCCGAGCCGCCGCTGGCTCCCTGGCCCCTGCAGACACCCCCGCCCTGGCCTTTGCCTCCTCCAGTCTTCACAAGCTTGGTTTTGAGTCGCAATCGTTGACAGCTTCTGTGCCCAGGCAGCCTGGGCTCACTCCTTGGAATTGTAGCGCACTCTGGTTCAATCAGTATTTAATCAAAAATAAGATGAGCACCTAAAATATGAGCTCGTCTCCTATTGTGAGCTTCAAAGAGCAGAGGTGGAGTGCTTTGGGGCCTTCCACTGTGTTGCTTTTTCAGCTTTTTGGGCTTTGTTTCACTGCAGTGCATCCCTGGCCACTGAATAATAGCTTGCAGGGAAAATCCAGGTTTTTGCTTCCCATGGAGAGGCAAGAGGGCAGATTTTCTGACAGGAAAGCGGGAAGTGTTAAGTGGCTCCTGCAAAGCAGTCATGCCCGGACACAGATATAAAAGGTTTGCTTTGGTCATCCTGTGATGGTAGTGACCTGGCCTCGGGTGTGGAGTCTTCCCATCAGTCACCAGCAGGGCATCCCTGTGACTGGGCTTTGCTGAGGGGCTGTGGGGAACTGAAGCTTGGTACCTTGAGTGCCAGGAGCTGGACATGCCCAGGGAGCCAGTTTTAATGTTCAGGGGAACACTAGGGAGAAGGGGAACAGGGGGAGCCCGTGGTCCAGCTGGGACCAAACACCCACAGACATGCTGGGGGCATTTACAAGGCAAAAAGCTGATAGAAGTAGCAGACTGAGTGGGCAGAGACCCTCAGCAGGGAAGTCACCCCCCTCACCCTCCACTCCCCTGCTCTGCAGAATGTGAAGGACGATGGGCAGCATGCCTGGAGACTGAAGCACTTCAAGAAACCTGCATACTGCAACTTCTGCCGCACCATGCTGCTGGGGGTCCGCAAGCAGGGCCTCTGCTGCTCCTGTGAGTTCCAGCCCCCTGTGGCCACCCATGCTGGCAGGCTGTCAGCTCCTGTCCCATCCCAGTGCCCCAGGAAGGAGGAACTGGCCCCTGACAGCGCTGAGCCCTGTGGGTGCTGCAGGGTGACCAGCACCTGTGCCCGGAAGTGATGTTCACCACCTTCTTCTCTCACCAGTCTGCAAGTACACCGTCCATGAGAGGTGTGTGTCCAAAGATATCGCGTCCTGTATCAGCACCTATGTGAAATCCAAGAGAAACATGAGCGTGAGTAGACAACCAACACATTTCTGAGCCCTGCCGGGGGCAGCACTGCCTGCAGCAGCTGGAACCCTCAGTGTCCTGTCCTGGCTTTTTTTCCCCTGCAATTTGACCCTCAGGTCCTGGGCAGCAGCTCACAGGCATTCCCAGCATCCCAGAGCCCAGCAGGGTGGGCCCTGTCCCCAGCCCTTGGGGACCCGCAAGACCCCTCGCCCCAAGGTTTGCCACAGCTCCAGGTTGGGCCTGGGGTTCTCCAGTGTGCTGCATGGAGCAGCAAGGAGGGAAAGTGGCCATGTGAGGGGCTGGTTTGGGTCAGTCGGAGTCCCTGCATGACAAACCACACTCCAAAACCACAACAGGAGCCCTTAGTGGAGAGAAGATACCCATAGGTCTGTGGATGCTGCATTCACAGTGCCTGCCTCATGCCTTGCAGGTGATGCAGCACACCTGGATTGAGGGCAATTCTCCTGTCAAGTGTGACAGATGCCACAAAAGCATCAAGTGCTACCAGGGAATCACCGGCCTGCACTGCGTCTGGTGCCAAGTCACTGTGAGTACACAGGTGTGGGGAACCCCAACCTGCACACAGGCCCTGGGTGAGAAGAGGCTCACAAATCACTTGGTGTTCCCTACCTGACATTCTTTGCTCCTGGCCCCTCCAGCTCCACAACAAATGTGCCTCCCACGTGAAGCCAGAGTGTGATGGGGGCCTGCTGCGGGACCACATCTTGCTGCCTTCCTACATCTGCCCTGTTGTGCTGGTAACTTCTCTGCTCCTTGCTGATGGGTGTCATGGACTCGGCAGGGCATTGGCATGGCCGACCTGCCTCCCCTTGTCTGTCAGTGCTGCCTTCTTGGTGCAGCATGCACATGCACACCTCTGTTCCCCAAAGGACAGGCAGTCTCACTGTTGGAGGTCAGAGAGTGATTCCCCTGCCAGCACCAGCCCCGAGGACAACCAGGGCTTCAAGTTCAACTCCACCACAGTGGATGGGCAAGGACTGCAGGTAGCTTCCCACACTGACCTACTGATGAGCTCTGCTGTGGGTGTACAGCAAGCCCGCAGGAGCTTGGCATACACAGCCGTGCTTTCTGTCCTCCAGATCAGCCCCCGGCCTGGGACACACCCCCTCCTAGTGCTTGTGAACCCCAAGAGTGGAGGACGGCAAGGGGAGCGGTAGGTGGAGTCCTGCTTGTGGAGAGCATCCCCCCAGGGTCAGGGGCTGCTGGTCCCTCGAGCTGCCCCAGCACCTCTTCTGGAGAGGGAGTCACCTCTGCAGTGTCCCTCATGCCTCATTTTTCCTAGAGTCCTTCGGAAATTTCACTACCTGCTCAACCCTCGCCAAGTGTACAACCTGGACCGTGGTGGGCCTGCACCAGGGCATGGAGGTGCTGCACGCAATCCTCT